CTCTCCTACCCCAACACAGATGTGTTTTTGATCTGCTTCTCCGTTGTAAATCCAGCCTCTTACCACAACGTACAGGAGGAATGGGTCCCAGAGCTGAAGGACTGCATGCCACATGTGCCTTACGTCCTCATAGGGACCCAGGTTAATGGGGGGCAAGGGCAGGGCGGGCGGGCTGCAAAACAGAAAAGACGATCTAGGTACCCCATGAACCTGGTCTATGAAACGCTATGCAAGGGGTCTCAGACATAGCAATCCTATGCACAGAATGACGTTCTTCACAGTAACAGGGTGAGGCTGTCAACTGTACCTATTACCTAACTACTTTGATATCTGAAATCCATGATTGCTTTTAAATTACAGAACAGATGTGAGTGTCAAAACAGCCCAGCAATCAGAGTGGGCATATTGCCACAGAAACTCCTTAATAACACTTCCAGAGAAGGAAGACAGAAATTCACCCTTCTCTATTCTGTTTAGAACCTCTTCATTTTCCAGATCTTAGAAGTTAAAACAGACATTCCAGATAAACAAACACACGCTACTGCAGATGCCTTTAAAGTGTGTTGAAAGCTAATACATTTCCCGTTTGCATTTGCAGCAGTAAGTCAGTCACACAAACATATTAAAGGTTGTTCCAACTTTTTGTAGTTTTAAATGGATTTTGTTCTTTGCTATTTTAGAATCCAAATTACTATCCCAAAGACATAGGAATGTAATAATACCGAAGGGATTTATTGGTATCTGTTTCATACGTTGCATCTTTGTATTTCTCATTTTTACATTCTGTTTGACAAAGATGCTCTTGTAAAAAACACAAAGGAAAAAAAGATATTTCCTGAAGAAGATATGGATAGATACAGAGTAGCTCTGTTTACTCAAATAGAAGAACTCACATATCCATAATGCAATTAATGCTTCTGCTCTGTAAGATAATTGTTTAAGTGAAGTCGTTTGCCTTTAATTCCAAATAGTAATGTTTGCTCACATTGATGGAGCCTGGATCCCTGACATTAAAACACTTTTGTCGGAACCAACAGTTAGCATAATGACTATGTCATTGAACTCCCATGTAGTCGAACACGGTTCAAGTCCCAGACCCGGTGGCTTAAATTCATGCTGGGCGTGTGGGCATGCATGCCCAAGATCCCGAGAAGAGAATGGAGGAGAACAGATTGCGAAGGCGCCGCCCCCGTGAGAAAAAACCTCTCAAAAAAAAAAAAAAAAAGAAAAAGAAAAAAAGCCTTTGTGTGATTTGAGCCTACTTTATAACAGATGGGCACTAAATTGAACAATTAAGGCAAAAAAAAAAAAAGGTTTATTTTTACGGGCCAGCAGGTGATGTGGTTGTTAAGGCACTGGAATCCACATGACCAACTCTGAGTTCGGGTTCCAGACTCAGAGGCCTGAAAAGCACACCAGATATGTGTCCGTATGTGCCCAAAATCCCGAGAGAAGAATGGAGAAGGGATCACAGTGAGGCCATCCCTATAAGGGGTGATTTCTCACTTTCCCTCTCTCTGCCTCTCTGTCTCTCTCCAGCAAGTGCATATACCCTGTGGCAAAGAATCTTAAGGAAAACACACACACACACACACACACACACACACACACACACAGATTAGTACAATTAAACAATTATAAGAAGATACAAAGATATTCATTTCTCCTTAAGATACAAGTCTGGTGTGCTCATATTCACACCCATTTGTATATGCATGGATTCAGAAACATAGTGAGTATTTTGTTTTTTGGGGTTTTCCATGAGAGATTTTTGCTAGTGTAAGAAGAGGATTCTTAAACTATAGAAGAAGTGTATATAGGGCACATACACTCGCCAGAGAGACAGAAAATGAGAAATCATCCCCCTGGGGGCGGGATGGCCCACTGCAATCCCTCCTCCTCCATTTTCCTCTTGGGGTCTTGGGAATGCACACACGCACCTAGGGTGAGTTTGAAGCCGCCAGGTCAGGGACTCAAACTGCAGTCGACCATGTAGGACCATTACACCATCAGCTGATTCCCACAGTGAGATTTTAAAGCAACCAAAATATTTAATTAAACTATCAAACCTAATCCAGATATATAGGCTATCTTCAAAGTGGTTCTACCTTTGAAAAGATTCATGTTCATTTCTTGAGTAAAGCTTTAGGAAATTCCTCTTTGGGACTTGCGTTTCAGAACTTGGAACGTATTTGTTAGAGCATCCTCACAGGTGGCAAATTATCTCTGTGACGCTGAAGATCTGATATAGAAAGGCCAAAAGAAAAATGAGAGAGATGAATTCAGAGCCCGGAAATAAACTATTAAATAATGAGTAATATAATTTGGGATCTAAAAGGCCTTGTTGTAAAGTAATAAGACGAACTGGTTATCTTGTAGGTCCTACATGTGGAATCTAGAAATAAAATTTCAAAAACAACCATGACAGAAACAGAATCATCAGGGTAAATTCTCACCTCCCAGGGTAGAAGTGGAAAGTGTTAAAAAAAAAAAAAAAGTTAGGTAAGCTTTACAAAGAAATCTCCACTCTTTTTAGACAAACAGGGGCAGTGCATGTGCTTCCTTAAAGAAAGATGTTAAGGGAAAAACATTATTATGACACACAGTTTAAAATACCTGTAAGGCCTGAAAAAATTAGTTTATCACATGTATTTTTTTTTTCCAGATTGATCTCCGTGATGACCCCAAAACCTTGGCCCGTTTGCTGTATATGAAAGAGAAACCTCTCACTTACGAGCATGGTGTGAAACTTGCAAAAGCGGTACAGTCTGGTTTGAATTTACTTTTAACTGTATGCTGAGGACGAGTCTGATGTATGCTCTGGGATGGGTGAGCTGGTTACACTTTTCCAATGCAATGTGTTCAGAATCTTCTCTACTTTATATTCTCCCTCTGTTTAGTCAGGCTGGGAAGGGCCATTTGGTTACTGTCCTTGTCAGCCGGCATTGTCTGTTTTTCGTTAGGAAAAAGAAACTTGGGTGAATTTAAACAGCTGAAGCACTTATCATTTGATTTAGCAACCTCTAAAACATCTACTTGCCATATTTAGTATGAATAAAGGGAGTCGTCAAATGTATATTTGTAAATCTTGCAGCTTATTATCGGTGTAACTCACTTAAATGACTCCGTAAGAGGCATTTTGTGATTTTCTTGGGAGAGACTTAGATTAGCATCTGGCGGGGTTATATTCATCCAGCATTTCTCACCCAGTAATGAATAGCCCTTCAGAGAGGCTGGATTGTGTCCCAAACAGCATCTGGAAGAACAAACAAGAGGGTCTTCAAAATGTTCACTGAAAATGCATATTATTAAAATAAAAAAAAATTTTTTTAACCTATGAATGGATTTTGATTGTTTTTGCACCAAAATAAATTTGTACTTTAATCCCCTTTTCCACAAATTTTCCAAAGTCTCTTTAAATGTCAACAAATAACTAGTCGAAGAATTTAACTGGCTACTCAGCAGATAAGAGCAACTGGCTCAAACGGGCTGTTTTCAACCTTTCTTCATTCTTGAGAGCTTAACATGAATAGTGATCCTGTTGGGGAAACACTTCAGAAAGTATTGGCCAGACACTGCATCATTGCCTCTCCACTGCCACCAAGATACGTGCAAAACAGCCACTAAGATAAACACAAGGGGGTCAAGTGCACAGGAAGCAGCTTATAAGTCGCATTAGCATAACCTGAATCCAAGTCCTCAAATTCATCGCTCCAGGTCAAAGGTTTTTCATTTTTCCATTTTACTAGTTTTGGGGTGGTTTTTTGGCTAGAGGATACATGCAATAGCCCAAGAAAGACAGAGTGACAGAAAAGAAAGCACTTCTCCCAATGGGGCATGGTCACACCAAAATTCCTTCTCCTTCATTTCTCCATCCTGTCAGGATTTGGGGCACATGCACCTGCCTGGCATGTTTTTCAAACTCCCAGGTCTGGGATTCGAACCACGTGGTCTCAGCCATATGGGATCCAGTTCCTTTAACCAGCAGCCTATGGGCCAGTCTTACTTTCTAAGTAACTGATCCTACAAAATGCATGCTCTAGGAGTTATAAGCCACTCCTTTAAAGCAGATCAAATATATCATTAACTACAAAGTTTTCATTTATAAAAATGCATGTTTCTTTTTTTCACATGAAAATTTTTCAGTTTATTAATCCTCTCATAAAAAATCCGCACAATCACCGCAGATAGTCATTGCAGAATCTTTCCTCCTTTGACTTTTTGCCAGTACCAACATTGGCCTTTGCAGTCCCCTTGACTTTCTTCATTCTGTTCTTGCATTCCTTTCGCTGTTTTCTTGAGGTCTTTTTCTTCTCATAAAGGCCATGTCTTGCAAGACATGGGTTTGGGTTCATTTTTCTTCGCATGATCCAAAGAATCGTAAATCATGCCAAAGCCAGTTGTCTTGCCACCACCAAAATGGGTTCTGAACCCAAACACAAAGATGCCATCTGGTGTGGTCTTGTACATCTTTGCTAGTTTTTCCTGAATTTCCATCTTAGGTACTGTTGCCTTCCCGGGGTGAAGGACATCAGTGACCATTTGTTTCCTCTGAAGTAGTCGGTTGGTCAGGAATTTCCTGGTTCGGAGAGTTACTGTGGCATTCATGATGGCAGTATATCCTCAAGCAGCCAGGGAGGAAAAGACAAAAATGCATGTTTCTTTTATTAAAACCTGCTTATAGGCACCAAACTATGATACCCTTAGGTGGAAACAAATTAAATAAGACTGTGTGTTTAAAGCGATAACTCACGAGATGCTGAACTCTTCCTACTGCGCACAGTAACACCAGCACTAAGAGTACCAGCCATTCGCAGTGTCCTTAGCTGCTAAGCACTTCCCAGTCTGGCTCATGACCACCTTAAGGCAGAGTTTGTCTCATCTTGCAGATCAGGAAACAGAGTCTCAGGGAGGCAAGCATGTCTGACTCACACAGGCCATAACGACAAAGCCAAAATATTCTAAACCAGCTCTCCCATCATTCTCTGTGCTCCTGACCATGGTGTTAGGTGTCTCTTCTCCAACCTCGTGTTTTCCCTCTGGTAAAGTGAGTATACAAGGTGGTCTTCAAAACATACATGGAAGTGCATTTTATGAAAAGAACGAGGCATGGATTTCAAGAATAAACTCAGCCTTTAATTTCATTTGTCCACAAACTTTTTGAAGTCCTGTATACAGTCATGTACCACATGGCCACATTGCAGTCAACTAGGGACCACGTACATGACAGTGGTCCTGTAAGGAACAATACGTACAGCACATAGCCCAGGCGTGCAGGGGGCTGTCCCGTCAAGGTTTACCTACGTGCTCTCTATGGTATTCGCACAATGACAAAATCCCCTAACACTGCGTTTTTCAGAACATATCCTCATCATTAAGCGACATAGGACTGTCTATCTGCAGGTTCTTACACCTTCTTCTCAGAGACTCAGCCACAGATGCCCTCATTAAGATACATAAACATGAGAGCCGGCATGGTGGTTAAAGTACTGGACTCCTACATGGCTGACCACAGTTCAAGTCCCAGACCTGGTGTCTTGCTTTCTCGCTTTCTCTCTGGTGAGCACGTGAGCCCTATAGCAAGTTAAATATTAATAAATTAAATTAATAATTCCTTTTTTAAAAAAGATACATAATTGTGTAGTGCCATAATACTTGTGTGTGATTCCCAGCTACCCGTTTTTCACAACCAGGAGGTCCCCCTGGCCCAGCACCAGCTTCCCTCAGGAGTTTGATTGCTGTGTCCCTGGCTTCTGGGCCTGCCTCCCACCTCCATGATCAGCTCGCCAGCCTTGCTTCTCATTTGCGAAGTTGCTTTTCCCCTCTGAAAAGAAGTCGTCCTGAAGCCTCCCATCTCATTTCATACTTATTTTGGGAACAATGGCTGAGTTCACCACTTTATTGCCTTTTGCCAGTTTCTCCTAGCAACTGCTCTCAGATACAGAATTAAAACCTGCTTATAGGCACCAAACTATGATACCCTTAGGTGGAAACAAATTAAATAAGACTGTGTGTTTAAAGCGATAACTCACGAGATGCTGAACTCTTCCTACTGCGCACAGTAACACCAGCACTAAGAGTACCAGCCATTCGCAGTGTCCTTAGCTGCTAAGCACTTCCCAGTCTGGCTCATGACCACCTTAAGGCAGAGTTTGTCTCATCTCGCAGATCAGGAAACAGAGTCTCAGGGAGGCAAGCATGTCTGACTCACACAGGCCATAACGACAAAGCCAAAATATTCTAAATCTCCTCTCCCATCATTCTCTGTGCTCCTGACCATGGTGTTAGGTGTCTCTTCTCCAACCTCGTGCCTCTGGTAAAGTGAGTATACAAGGTGGGCTTCAAAACATTCATGGAAGTGCATTTTATGAAAAGAACGAGGGATGGATTGCAAGAATAAAAGAACGAGGCATGGATTTCAAGAATAAACTCAGCCTTTAATTTCATTTGTCCACAAACTTTTTGAAGTCCTGTATACAGTCATGTACCACATGGCCACATTGCAGTCAACTAGGGACCATGTACATGACAGTGGTCCTGTAAGGAACAATACGTACAGCACATAGCCCAGGCATGCAGGGGGCTATCCCGTCAAGGTTTACCTACGTGCTCTCTATGGTATTCGCACAATGACAAAATCCCCTAACACTGCGTTTTTCAGAACATATCCTCATCATTAAGCGACATAGGACTGTCTATCTGCAGGTTCTTACACCTTCTTCTCAGAGACTCAGCCACAGATGCCCTCATTAAGATACATAAACATGAGAGCCGGCATGGTGGTTAAAGTACTGGACTCCTACATGGCTGACCACAGTTCAAGTCCCAGACCTGGTGTCTTGCTTTCTCGCTTTCTCTCTGGTGAGCACGTGAGCCCTATAGCAAGTTAAATATTAATAAATTAAATTAATAATTCCTTTTTTAAAAAAGATACATAATTGTGTAGTGCCATAATACTTGTGTGTGATTCCCAGCTACCCGTTTTTCACAACCAGGAGGTCCCCCTGGCCCAGCACCAGCTTCCCTCAGGAGTTTGATTGCTGTGTCCCTGGCTTCTGGGCCTGCCTCCCACCTCCATGATCAGCTCGCCAGCCTTGCTTCTCATTTGCGAAGTTGCTTTTCCCCTCTGAAAAGAAGTCGTCCTGAAGCCTCCCATCTCATTTCATACTTATTTTGGGAACAATGGCTGAGTTCACCACTTTATTGCCTTTTGCCAGTTTCTCCTAGCAACTGCTCTCAGATACAGAGAGAATCATGTTTAGCTTACAAAATCCAATTTAGAAGAAAACCGAGCAAGATTTTAACTTGTTTCATCACAATTCAGGTAATTATAGAGGTGCTCTAAGTTTCTCTACTCTCTGACTCTTCTGTCAAGTAGTTTATAATAACAGCTAGCATTTATGGAGTGTTTATAATGCGCTAGGCTTGGTGCCAAGGGCTTTACATGCCTCGTCTTAATTAATCTGCACAGCAGCCCCCTGAGGTGTGTATATTATCATCCCCACGTTTCTAGAGGAAACTGAGGCTCCAAGACCTTAAGCCATACAGCTAGAAAGTGCCAGAGCGAGGTTGTGAAATTGTGCTTAAACCACCAGAACTGTTCTGCCTCCTTTTTATAATCTGAAAAGGTTTGACGCTTCTTTCTTTATATACCAAAGACTCGTATTTTAATAGGAATATTCTCCCCAAATTTAAATGCTTTGCAAGTTCAGAATGGTCATATCTTTTGCTCAGTACTTTTTAATTTCCAAAGCATTTTTC